GAGATACACAAACTATATTGAACTTTCTCTTGCTATAATAATCATGAATCTTTGCATTTTAAACTGACCTACATACCACTACCAGAATAATCTTTCTAAAGCACAGGATTTTGTCATTTCTCTCCTCTTCCTTACTACTAATAGTTATTCCCCCATTGTATGTATTCTGGGGATATCCAGTAAACGGTGGCAAAATAAAGAGCATATCTCTATTCTCCTGTCTGGTGCCTAGCAAAATTAAGAAAAAGAGCATCAATATATCTATATCTATATATAACAACAAGACAGATCAGGAGGGCAAGGCAGGAGGAGGGGAATCAGTAAATATTATCTAAAATTGCTAAACCAAAAAATGTTTATTTTAAAACCAACAGAGGCCCGTATCTACCAAAAGTATCAAAATTAGGAGGCAGCAGAATCGCTTGAACCCAGGAGATGGAGGTTGCAGTGAGCTGAGATCATGTCACTGCACCCTAGCCTGGGTGATAGAGTAAGACTCTGTCTCAAAAAAAAAAATAAAAAATAAAAAACAATAGTGAAACCACCAGAGAAGCTAAAATATAGACTATAGATATCACTAAGATATCAAGTGATTAGAAAGAAAGAGGAAATGCAGCACACCTACCCAAAGAAGGAAAATAAAGGAAGCATTAAAAGAAACATGTCAGAATTGCATTGGCAGGAGTGAGGGCACTGGGTATTTTCATACACTGTAGGTAGGAATGTAAGTTAGAACAGCTTTTTTTTTTTTTTTTTGAGGATAATTTGGAAATACCTATCAAAAAATTTAAGATCTCATACTCTTTGCAACAATGTCATTTCTTCAATTTATCTTATGGATAGGCTTGTGTGGGTGTGACAGGGACATTTCACTATGGCGTCATTTTAACAGATAAACGTACGGCAGCTTACTGTCAGTTAAAAGGAACAGAGGCAGACCAAGGCAGGGAAGTGAGCTCTGGGTGTGGCCTAATGGGATGCATTTTCTATAAAGAAATTAAAATCAATAATAAAACTGATGAAAAGTCTGGGATCCTTTAACATCCCCATGCGTGAGAAACTCCAAACGATGTCCCTGGTCAGATACTTCCCCCATTGATGCTTCAGGCTCTCATTGGCCTTGCCTCCTCTCTGCTCACGTACAACACAGCAGGAGGTGCATGAAATAAGCTTTGTCATGTGTTTGCTGTGGATGACTACACCCATGAAAGAAAACAGGATAGAGCTTTACATACTAAACTGGAAAGTATTCCAAGTTCTATTTTTATGAAAAATCTATGTGTAAAAAATACATATCATTGATAGAGTTTTATGTTAAATGAAATTGCGAGATGGTGTGAATGGTATGATTCTGTTTGTGCCAAGGTAGGTTTATATATCCATAAAGTTTACATGCATAAACTTCTAAGAGTGTGCATAGAAAATGCCTGGAAGGATACACAAGATATTTACCTCTGGGGGTGGGCATAGTGAGCCAGGGGGCAAGACAGTATACTTTTTGCCTATTGTTATTATTTTTGAGGTGTTTTTATTTTAAAACAGGGAGTTTAGAAATTCATTTGTTCCCAATCATTTTAGTGTAATATTATATAAACTTATATTCTATATTAAGTTTTCCAAGATAAATTGTTTCCTTGAATTTTGCCTGACACATATGAGTGTCATGGTCATTGGATAAGTCAGTAAACATTTTTAGGTTATAGTTTAGTAAACTAAGCTGTGCTATTAGCTTTACTGTGTTTCTTTTCCATAAAAATAAATGTCATATGTTCATTATAATCTTAAGAAGGGTATAATTTTAATATGTAAAGTTTCTTTTTATTCTCCTTTATTTTTGGGTTGGTTTTTACTATCTGGCAACGAAAAAGTGAATTGCTTTTTATAACCAATTACAGTTTAGACGTCCTTGCCTTGTAGTCGGTTCTGTGGGAGGTTTCTGCTCTGTGAAGTGGTGGTGTGATTCTCTATGTCTACCTGCCTATCTTTCCAGTTTTGGGGGCAGCAGTTTGCTCTGTGGCCATGATTCTCTGCTGAATCTAAGAAGATTCTTGATTTTCAGTTTGTTCAGCTTCCTGCTTGTTAGGATGGAGTGGTGACTTTCAACATTCTCATGTGCAGGAGTGGAAACCTCAAGCCTGGACCACTTCCTTTGATAATTTATTTTCTCCCCTCTTTCCGTGGTACTCCTTTCTCTTAGTTCTTCAGTAGCTCTGAACTGTTCTCTGTCTTCCTTCCCAGTCCTCCCTCTGATAGTTCAGGGGTCTACCCTTTTCCCTCTACTCAGCCTGCATCGCCCTTCCCTTATGGCCCTGCCTCCCTCTGTAGCTCTAACATCCAGACAGCGAAGTCTCCTTGTTTTCCTTAGCTCTGAGTCCTGAGTGTCTGGCATCTCATGGGCACTTCACAGTCGGTGTCTCCAAAACGGAGTCTACTTCTGTGAGCCCTCCATCCTCCTCCCATCATTACACCTCACCCTCCTCTCTTCTCCCACAAACACACCCAGATTCCCCTCTTCCTTTTTTTGTGTTCATTGCGCTGGCAGATTCAGTGACTCTACCATCCCACTTATTTGTCCAAGCCAGAAACCTGAGTGTTATTCTAGATTGTTCTGTCTTTCTCATCACCCTCTAAATCCAGTCACTCACACAGTCCTGAGACGTTTGCATTTCAAAGGAAAAATACATTCATCCCTGACCCCACTGCCCTCCGTCAGAGTTCACCCTCTGAAGCCGGGAAGGCAGTCCTCCTGTCAGCCCTCCCTGCCTCCTGCATTCCACCCTCCACGCTGTCCACTGTGCAGCATTCCGGAAAACATCAGATGCTCCACTGTGGCCTACAGAAGCTGTCTCCCAAATGGCATCTGTAAGCAATTCCTTGAGAGTGTAGTCATAAAATACTAGGAATTCTATGTATATTTATTTTTCTTTATCTCAACTTATAAAAAGTCTCCTTTTTGCAGTGTGATAAAACAATACCACATGAGTATACTTTATAAATGTACTTATAGAAGGTTGAATACTCAAAAGTTATTTTAGTATGCATTGGTGAGGAAGCTTAGAGGCCATGGCCTGTGGTGCATGGTCCCGGTTCCTCAGCTTAGTGGACCAGGCGCTCTGTTTTCTGGCCCCTGCCTGCCTTTTCCAGACTCTGCTCCCATTCTTTCTCCATTTATCCCTGTGTTGGTAACTGCTTCGTCTTTAACCACATCCTTTTTAGAAGTTACCGGGCTATTTTATGCCGTCATACTTCAGTTACACCATCGCTTCCGCCCAGAATTCCTATTATGATTCCCATTTTCCATTCCTCATCCCAGCCCTTGCAGTTTTTTTTTTTTTTTTTTTTTTTTTTTTTTCCTTCCCAGGCTATGCGTGGCCTTGCAAAGTCTGATTCTGTTTGTTTGTTTTTTTGAGATGGAGAATCTCACTCTGTCGCCCAGGCTGGAGTGCAGTGGCGTGATAGCTCACTGCAACCTCTGCCTCCTGGGTTCAAGCAGTTCTCTGCCTCAGCCTCCCGAGTAGCTAGGATTACAGGCAGCCACCACATCCGGCTAATTTTTGTATTTTTAGTAGAGATGGGGTTTCACCATATTGGCCAGACTGGTCTTGAACTCCTGACCTTGTGATCCGCCACCTCAGCCTCCCAAAGTGCTGGGATTATAGGCGGGAGTCACAGCACCCGGCCGATTCTTTCTTAATTCCTACCCGAGAAGCTTTCCCTGGTGCTACCCTGCACTCCGCAGGTAAAGTCATCACGCTCTCCTTTGCTCTCCCATTGTGCAGTGCTCATTCATTCATCCTTCAGCACTGCCTCCTGCGCGCCGGCTGTGTGCTCACCGCTCCAGGCCCGGGACACGGTGTAGTTGGTTCACTTCTTTGCCTCCTTCAGCGCGAGCTGCTTAGACACGAAGGCTCTTGACCCCCTCCTCCAGCACCCCGCGGGTTTGCCGATGGCACGCTTGAGTGAACGAACCAGGGAGCCAGGGCGCTGGTCACGGATGTCTCTTTCAACACTAGGACTCTGTTTAATGAAAAATCAGTCAGAAATTAAGGTGTAAATTTGTGGATGTCCATAGCCAAAGTCTCATGTGTTGTGCAATTTATGTTCACTTGCTAAACTCATTCATTTAGTAGTAACTATGTTTGTATATATTTTATAGATAAATTTGTAGGGACTCTTATTTTATGGAATGAAATGTTGTGCAGTTCTAGAATCACAAAGCCAATTGAAAAAAAAATGTATATTTTGGTAATCCCAAAAAGTAGATGTATAATGAAGACCTACAATATTCCAGAGCCATTATTTTTGGCTGTGGTTATATATTTTGGCTTGACTTAATGACTCAAATGTAAACATTCAAATCACATATTTTGGATTTGTTTTGGTTTATGTTGGAATATATAGAACAGAAAAAGTTATTTTTGGGTGAAGAATAATTCACCTTACTAGTTATGTTGTCCTTAATTTAAGATACCTATAAAACAGATAAATTAAGATCTTAATCTTTATATTGCAGGCATTTTTTTCATAAATGAATATTTTACTGGATGAGAACTTTAAATTCACTTAATGTGCCTCAGGGTTTTTATTCATTTAATATTTATGTGATATAAGTCATGAGTTTCTAGAATATAACTCATGAGATAAGAGTTACCATTATAACTGAAACTGGTCATATCTTGCATATAAGTATGTATACAGTGAGCAGTTGAGACAGTGCTTAATTGGGTTAGTAGTAAAGGAGTAAATAAAATGGAAGGGACAAAGATTAGGGAGTGATATGTCTACCTTAATTACTGACTTATGACTAACACTAGTAATAATCAGACTGTCATTCTGAAGAACACTGTCTGAAAACCCCTCAAATGATATAAATGCACTTTTATGTTTTGAATCCTTCTTTAGCTCCAGTGATCTTAAGTAGTAAATGAAAAGTTAATTGAATTTACCTTCAGAAATTGAAATAAACAAAGATGCTGTTGAACTTTTCTTCCTTCTCTTAGGTATAATATTGAGCCCAGCCTATATTGCCCGTTTTTCTCTCTTGGAGCATGCATGGAAGGCCTGAATATTTTGCTAAACAGACTATTGGGGATTTCATTATATGCAGAGCAGCCTGCAAAAGGAGAGGTGTGGAGTGAAGATGTCCGAAAACTGGTGAGCTCCCACTCAGCCTGCAGTTGTATGCGTTAGCCTTTCGGTTTGGGAGTTGAGTCAACAGCAGTTTCATGTTTACATTAACTTTGCCCTGATTGAGTGTGTCCCTGCCTTATTTCTGCTTCACAAAAAAAATCCAAATTGCACTTTTGATTTAGGACACTGTATAAAGGATCTAAACATAAAACAGCAGAGTTTTCTAAAAAAGTTGTTTGGAACTTGATAGAAGGTTGAATATATATACACCTTCATATATCCACAAATTCTAGTTAGAGGAAGATTGGCCATTACTTTGTATGTACCTTCAGTGCTGTGTGTCCCTTTTGGTTAATTCCCAAATCCATTGCATGAGTGACCTTTTTTCTTTCCAGCCCCCATGCCATGTTGTAGGGGCTTATATTTGCATCAGATATTAATTTACGTCCTGTGTTCTGATTTATTTAACTTCTTTGATAATAACTTCAAACCTGGCAATCATCTTTGTCCTGTGAAGGCCCACTTTATTTGAGGCATGAATCTTTTAAATTTTTCCTCATAGGATTTGAGGCTTTGTTGACCTGTGTTTGTCACTAAGGCATTGTATTGTTTTGTTGTTTGATTTTTGCTAGCATGCTTACCACACTGCTTTCTTCACTATATTTTAAGAAATGTAAACAATCTCATTGTCTCTCGGCCACGTCTTGTGAGTGGAGAGTAGGTGTGGTGGTGGGATTGAAAGGAGAGTCAGGGGAGAGGACGTTCATCACTGCATTGATTTACTTCAATATCTGTATTACAAATTTCCGAAAAAGATAGAGATTGATAAAATGCTGAGCTATAATAAAAAGAAAAGTTTATAAGAGGAGACTGAGAGGACAAAATGCGGGTGATGAAGAGGTTTCCCCAGAACTGCAGAGTGTGCACTCCACCGGGGTCCAGCCCTGTTGTCATTTGCTTTCACTTCTGTATCCCAAGTGTCTTGAACAGTTCCTGGCACCAAGTAGGTGCTTAATAGATGTTTGATGAACAATGAATATATACTTGCAGGTAATTTTAAAGCACAAAATCGGGGTTCTCTTTGATGGAATCATTAAATTCTGAAAGAACAAAGAAGGCAAGATGGAGAGTAGCAGTTGAGTCTCTCCTATAAGCTCTGCCTCTTGGAGAGGGGATAGATAGTGATAGCTGATTTTTTAACTCAAGCTGGGAGCTGCATTGTGGCGTTTTCAAATTCGAGGGTTATAATTTGCTTGGGCATATATCATGACATTCCAGGATTTGAAGGAAAAATACTTTTGCTCCTAAAATTGTCCAGCCAGCACTTCTTCTCAACTCTTGTGGTGGTTAGTAAAGGTGTTGTAGAGGACAGGCAGTCAGGACAGAAGGCCCTCATGAGGAGGATTTCCTCTCCTGGACACAGAATTCCAAAACCAAAATCATTCAAGAGATGGAGCAGAAGAGGATGTGGGGAAAAGAGAATCTATCTCGAGACAATATGGGATGTCGGATGTAATTAAAATGTCTATATGTGTGGTTGTGGATGTCTAATATACAGATTCTTGTGCTAGGGATTTTAGAGAATCGGATGGCCTAATTTACCACCAAATTAAAATTTTTTTTTCTAGGCTGTCGTTCATGAATCTGAGGGATTGTTGGGGTACATTTACTGTGATTTTTTTCAGCGAGCAGACAAGCCACATCAGGTGATCCTTTCTTTATAAACTGTTCTCTCTAGAACTGATCAGCATTTCATTTGTATTAATGTGAACTTTGTATCATTTTTAAAATCCATGATATTTAAAAGTTATTAATGATGGTTACCAAATATATACATTTGAAATTAAGATAGCATTTTAAAATGAAAAAGTTTATGGAAATAATTACATCAGTCTGTATTTGTCACTTTTATCTGGGTCATGGTATTAATTATAGTAATAATGACAGCTGACATTTTATGAATCCTTATTTGTGCCAACCAGTGCACTGAATCCATTATACCCATCAGCCTTTTAATGTTCACCTCAACCTTTTGACTAGGTACTCACGTTATGAGGAAAATGAAGCCAGAGAGGTTAAGCTACTTGGTCAGAAGTGCTAGGACTTGAAGACATACCTCCCAATCAGATCCCCAACTTTTAACTCTTTTCCATACTTGACAATGAACCTATTCTAAAACTGCAGAAGATATTCCGTGTGGAAACCTTACCAACCACCAAGTAGCTCCTTATGTGGAAGACTTGAGGCAGCTCATCTCCTTTTCTTTAGCGTTGGCTGACTTTGACAGCCAGTCAGCTTTAGCAGTTTCATGTAGCTTGATGGGAAATGTCAAGAGTTTAGGTTATAAGTTATAACAGAAATAACGTATCTTATGTTTGAATAGTGATTCACAATTTCCAAAGCACAGATTTTAACAGATGTGAGCTTATGAATTCTGGACAGCCACTGTGGGATTTGACAAGGAAGCATTTTAGAGATGAGGCTTGCACAGGCAAATTCTTTTCCAAGATGATTTGGCTATTAGGTGTGAAAGGTAGGAACAGGGTGCAGGTCACCAGACTCTGCGGCCAGTGTTCTTCCTCTTTGCTTAAATGGGTGGGTGGTGGAGACTCAACTTAGTGATTAGGAGCCCTGGCTCCTAATAGTCAGCCTGGGTTCAGATCCAAGGTGCGGCAATTCTAGCTAGGTGTCCTTGGACATATTTAATAATTCTAAGACTAGTTTTAGTTTTATCATCTGAAAAGTGAGATACCTGCTACACAGGGTTGTTGTGGAGAATAAGTGATACAGTGTATGTGAGTCTCAGTGTAGTGCCTATTTCAGAGTAAGTTACTCTGGATCCGGATCCCTTGCTTTACACTAGTTTAGATCCCATCTCGTTCAACTGATAAAAGTCAAGAGAGGCTGGGTGTGGTGGCTCAGGCCTGTAATCCTGAGGCTGGCGGATCACTTCAGCCCAGGAGTTCAAGACCAGCCCTGGCAACATAGTAAGACTCCCATCTCTACAAAAAAATCTAAAAACTTAGTTGGGTGTGGTGGAGCACACTGTAGTCCCAGCCAATCAGTAGGCCGAAGCAGGAGGATGGCGTGGAGGTCCAGGCTGCAGTGAACTGTGATCACAACACTGCGCTCCAGCCTGGGCAACACAGCAAGACCCTATCTTAAAAAATGAAAAAAAAAAAAAATAGCCAAGAGACACGGAAAGTACTTACTAGTTCATTATCTGACACATAGTAGGGACTCAGAATAAATGTTAGTGTCCCTTCCTAAGCTCTTTGCTGACTTTGTTTCCAGCATCTGGCACAGCATCATTTCAATGCATATTTTGGGACCAAATTAATGAATTAATCCATATAAACTGAATGTGTTTCTTGATGTTTTAAAAAATTAAAATTTTAGCAGAATAAAAAATGTCAAGAAAAGGTATATATATGTACATAGATAGAATAAGAATATAATTAAAGTTTGCACTCACACATTTTGGTGAAATTTTATATTCATTAAGACTGTTTTACTCTTCACATTACCAAATACTTTCTTTTCCTTTTATGTTTTCTGATTCTTAAAGGATTGCCATTTCACTATCCGTGGAGGCAGACTAAAGGAAGATGGAGACTATCAACTCCCAGTTGTAGTTCTTATGCTGAATCTTCCGCGTTCCTCAAGGAGTTCTCCAACTTTGCTAACTCCTGGCATGATGGAAAATCTTTTCCATGAAATGGGACATGCCATGCATTCAATGCTAGGACGTACTCGTTACCAACACGTCACTGGTGAGCCATGAGGAGGGCTTTTATTTACTACAATCCTTTACAAACATGCATTTTCTTTTAAATTGGGAAAGGGGCTTTTCATTTGGAAAATGTGATCATTTTACCATGTCCTGTGGTCTTTATCTCAGATTGCCTCATCCTGTCCTCCCCGTAGTTGTGCAGCCTGATCTTCCAGTGCTTTTTTCCATGCTTGCTAACAGCTTTCACCAGGGAATAATCTCAGTTGTCTTTCAAGTTTGTCCCTTTTTACATTTTACAGTGTTTTATATTGAATTTAAGTTTGTGGCTATGTGTGTGTGAATAACAAGGTATCTCCTTAATACCTTCCACAGAGTTAATAAGTCAGCGAATGGTCTCTATATTCAAAATCAGAAAACAAAATAAAGCATGCTTAAAAAGTATGATGAAGTCCTTTTAGCTTTTAATTTAAATAAAGCATGCTTAAAAAGTATGATGAAGTCCTTTTAATCTTTCCCCTGTATAAAATCATAGGTCTGCTTTGTAGTTTTTATGCTGCTAAATATGTGGCCATATTTTATCATATTACAGACTTTCCTCTTCGTTGTCTTATCCTTAAGTCTTAAGCTCCCTATCACATATGGTCAGCATTAGACCACTAGTGAATCGTTGGCATCCAGCATTTATTAACTAACTTTACACACAGTATTTTGGACAAGGAGAAGGCATTGAAAAGACTGTAGGTGGGCTGAACAGAATCATTAAATGTCATCTAAATTTTTTACAGGATTTGTTACTTTAAGTAATTTTGAGTTTAAAATACTTCTTTTCCTCACTGAGAATTGACTTTGTTACAAAAAGCGATAAATGAATAAAATAAAGTACTTGTAAAACAAAGGAAGGATAAAAGTATTAGGTAATGGAATTTAGTGAATTAAATACGAACACTATATTAATATTAGAAATGTTTTACTTTGTTTCATGTATAGCCAGCATAGCTGAAGACAGGTTTGTTTGTAAAAGGTGTGAGCCATTGCTTTATAAGGTGTTTTGGCAGCTGTGCAAATATTTTGTTTTAATTTTGATATAAAGGAAAATATATAGGATTATAATAAACTTTTCTGCAAATATGTACAGTAAATTTATAGAAGAAAAATATTGATTTAATGAATTAAAACTTATAGTTCATCAGAAGTACAAATAAAAGTTTTAAAGGGTACATAAAAAGTAAGATAAATATATCGATTTGATTCATGCCAACTTTTTTTTTTTTTTCTTGTTTTAGGGACCAGGTGCCCTACTGATTTTGCTGAGGTTCCTTCTATTCTGATGGAGTACTTTGCAAATGATTATCGAGTAGTTAACCAATTTGCCAGACATTATCAGACTGGACAGGTAGGTACAGTAATCTTGTCATATTGTCCTTTGGGTTGTGATAGTTGGCGTTTATGACATCCTGGATAAGTTGAACTCTTCTTGCTTTTTCAGAACTCACCCTCTGTTAGTAACAAACCTTTTATTGCTTCTTTTCTTCCTGATTCCATATCTTTTCTTTTGCCAGCCTATTAAATCATAGTCTTAGCATGTAGTCATGTGTTGAAAAATAGCTACCCTTTATTATAGGCCTGGTAATCTACCATTTAGTCCCCATAACCACCCCACAAGGAAAACACTTTATCTGCATTTTCCAGATGAAGAAACAAGCTCTGTAGTAGATTAGGCATTCCAACGTGTCTCACTTCTAAAAAGCCTTTGCTTCTGAATATTTATTTTCTTGGTCTGAATTTTTATGTTGTCTCATTAAACTAAACGGCATGCCATGTTTTGCCAGTATGCTTAGCATCTCTGTGATGCTTAGTCTGAAAAGTCCTTAATTTTAAGGCTTAAATTTCAATGATGCATTCTAATATTAAAGATTTTTAAATTAAAGTGTGAGGTACCTTACACTAAGTTAGCTATAAGTTGTACATTGTGCTGTTTACTGTCCACGTGTACATTGGAAGATGCATTCTTTCCCTTCCCTTGGAATTCTGATTATACTAGAACCGTATTATATGAGGTGATATTTTTCCCCCTCAGACTGTATGTACCCCCGGTACAAATGTAAATTGTATTCATCTGTGAATCCTTAGCACCTAGAATCTTGTTTCACGCACACACACAAAAACACTAAAAGAAATTAAATGAGGGGATGAATAGAAACAGAAGGACCTTAACCACCTTTATTTGTGACTCTTCTTCTGATTATGTCTCCAGATGTGTAATATTATTTGGTCATTCCTTTTTTTTTTTTTGGACTTTATCTGTAGAACAATCGGTGATCTTCTGGCCAGGCACAGTGGCTCATGCCTGTAATCCCAGCACTTTGGGAGGCTGAGGCAGGTGGATCACTTGAGCTTGGGAGTTGGAGACCAGCCTGGTCAACGTTGTGAAACCCTGTCTCTACTAAAAATGCGAAAGTTAGCCAGGTGTGGTGGCACATGCCTATAGTCACAGCTACTCAGGCAGGAGAATCACTTGAACCTGGGAGGCAAAGGTTGCAGTGAGCCGAAATTGCGCCACTGGGCAACAGAGTCTCAGTCTGGGCAACAGAGTGAGACTGTTAAAAAAAAAAAAAAAAAAAAAAATAATGAATCATATTCTGGATAGGTAATCTGAATGACTCTTCAGCATCATATATTTCAGTTATTAAGGCGTCAAATTTGTGATCCAATTAACTACCCATCCGTTAATCTACAAAGAATTGTTCTGGGAATTACGTAGACTTGGCCAATAACACGGACGGGCATCCCCTGCCAAGTGATAGCAGAATCGCTCTGTGGCCATGTGCTTTGGGGGCTGGGAACGATTGGGAATTCGGTGACTGCTCCCTGCCTGAGGTGCCTTAGAGCAGAGCCCCGCGCACAGCAGGGCCAGGAGGGCTGTGCCTGGGGGAGCTGGGGAGGCTGGGGAGAGGAGTGCAGGAGGAAGGCGGTCTGGGAAAAATACAGAAAGCGGCGTTCACCAGTCAGCTCTCAGCAGCACTCATCTGTTCCACTAAAAAACACTTACTGAGGACAGAGAGGCCCTTCAGTCAGAAAACCCTGAGTTTTACTATTGACCAGTCTCCATTCTCAGCATCCGAGAAACAACCAAGAATAAGTCAGGCAACATCCCATTGCCCGTGGTCTTTAGTTCCGAGGGGAACTGAGACGGAGCCTGACCAGGGTGTTGCCGCCCGAAGGCAAAGCCACCTCCAGACTGCTGGGGAGGCCTGGCCAGGAGCCGGGAGCTGAGGGCCGAGGAGGAGTCAGGGAAAGACACGGGCATGTGAGTTGGGTCTGCTGCTGCTGGGGCTGCGGAGCACAGCTGGGAGTTTGGATCCTAATGGAGGGAAAGCCAGTAAAGGCTTTCAGGTGGGAATCACATTTTTACTCCCAGAGAATCACCCTGGCGTCAGGGAGGAAGCGGATTGCAGGGGTGAGGGTAGAGCCTGAGCGGCTTCCTGGAGAGGCGGCTCCGGCTCCGGGGGCTCGGCCCTCGCCCCTCATGCCAGGCGCGCGGCCTCTCTCCGGCCGCTCCTGCGGGGTGGCCTCGGCCCTGGCGCCCCAGCACCCCGCAGACAAGTACACAGCTGGTGAGCGGTCAGGGTGGGAGGCAGGGGACGGAGAAGGCGGTATCCGCTTCCGAGGGTTCCGCAGGGTCAGGCCGAGGGAGGCGCCACTTGGTGGGGGAGACCGGGGAGCCCCAGTGCCGCCGGGAGGGGCTTCGGAGGAGTCGGAGGTTTCGGAGGTGCCTGGTGCAGGGCCGGGGAGGGAGGGTCGGGGGGCGCGAACACAGGGCGTGGGAGGACACACGTGCGGGAGTGACTGCACGGTAGGACCGGGAGCCTTGCCCAGTGGTCATGTTTTTGAAAAATCTGGAGTGGAAATTTAACACAAATACAAATGTCAATTTTTTTAAAATTGCCATCTACTTATAGAACAACCAGAAGCAAAGAAGGGCTGGAGTCACTGCTCCAAGTGTGATGTAAGGTCCAAAAGGAGAGAGCTTCCCAGTGCCTGTCTTCTAACTAAATTCTTCTGTAACAAGATGCATTGTTGAACTAGATGCAAGAAAACAAGAGTAAACCCAAAATCTAATCCAAGAAAGATGAGATAGGAAGAAAGCACTAAGCTGCTTTGAATTAATTTAAGTTTCAAATACAGAAGACAGGATCCAGTGCCCTTCAGGGACTTACAGACGTAGTCTCTAAAGAATCTACAATTTTGTGATTCTCATGGAGAATGGAAAGCGTGCCCAAAGGCAAGAGACATGTAAATGCTTTGAGCTTCTCAAGGGCTTGCCTCTTATTGTCGCTCATGAAGGCACCAAGGAGGTTTTTTATTTATTTATTTTTTAATTTTGAGGGCTGTCTTAGCCGTAAGGATAAGAAGTTAATTCTCTAAAATCCAAGTCTTTGTAAATAAATGACATTTAATCTCACAGGGAAAAAATAACAGAGTTGCCTGTTTATGCCTAATTTCTTATCCTGCTGCATTTCAGGAAAGGATTTTTTTAACATTATGAAATATATTCCAGAGAGGTGTCAGATAGAGGATAATCAGTGACTTATTAACACCTGCAAGTATTTTATCAGAACTGTATCATAGCATAGACAATGAATTCCTTGTGGTGGAAGAATTAGAAGTATGCTTATCAGATTTGCAGGTGCGATGCAGCTGTCGGATATAACAAATACCAGAGGTGCTCATTCAAGATTCAGAACGTCTTGACAAGCTACGACATCAAAGCTGAAGTAGAATTTATTGTAAATTAATCTTAAAATCAATACCACAGATATAGAAGAGTACAGATTTGGTTGCAGTTCAGGTGTTTAGACATAATAAACTTAATATAGATCAACAGTCTGATGGGTTTTCCCATAAATCTCCTTCAATTTTAGGCTACCTTAGTGGAGCTGTGGTACCTAAGGACCCAAAGGTCATTGTTTCTCTTCTCAGTGCTTGTAGATTTTGACCTTCAGCGTAACTTCTTGGCCATTGCTCCAAATTAGCACAGAATTATCTATAGGTGTCCCCATTCTCCTGGAAGCATGATTGTTGTCCTTCAGAATTATCTATAGGTGTCCTCATTCTCCTGGAAGCATGATTGTTGTCCTTCAGAATTATCTATAGGTGTCCTCATTCTCCTGGAAGCATGATTCTTGTCCTTCAGAATTATCTATAGGTGGCCTCATTCTCCTGGAAGCATGATTGTTGTCCTTCAGAATTATCTATAGGTGTCCTCATTCTCCTGGAAGCATGATTCTTGTCCTTCAGAATTATCTATAGGTGGCCTCATTCTCCTGGAAGCATGATTGTTGTCCTTCAGAATTATCTATAGGTGGCCTCATTCTCCTGGAAGCATGATTTTGTCCTTCAGAATTATCTACAGGTGTCCTCATTCTCCTGGAAGCATGATTTTGTCCTTCAGAATTATCTAAGGTGTCCTCATTCTCCTGGAAGCATGATTCTTGTCCTTCAGAATTATCTACAGGTGTCCTCATTCTCCTGGAAGCATGATTCTTGTCCTTCAGAATTATCTACAGGTGTCCTCATTCTCCTGGAAGCATGATTCTTGTCCTTCAGAATTATCTACAGGTGTCCTCATTCTCCTGGAAGCATGATTCTTGTCCTTCAGAATTATCTATAGGTGTCCTCATTCTCCTGGAAGCATGATTCTTGTCCTTCAGAATTATCTATAGGTGGCCTCATTCTCCTGGAAGCATGATTCTTGTCCTTCAGAATTATCTACAGGTGTCCTCATTCTCCTGGAAGCATGATTCTTGTCCTTCAGAATTATCTACAGGTGTCCTCATTCTCCTGGAAGCATGATTCTTGTCCTTCAGAATTATTAGTGTTTTTTTTTGTCCTTCAGAATTATCTATAGGTGCCTCATTCTCCTGGAAGCATGATTCTTGTCCTTCAGAATTATCTACAGGTGTCCTCATTCTCCTGGAAGCATGATTCTTGTCTTCAGATTTTATTCCTCATTCTCCTGGAAGCATGATTCTTGTCCTTCAGAATTATCTACAGGTGTCCTCATTCTCCTGGAAGCATGATTCTTGTCCTTCAGAATTATCTATAGGTGTCTCATTCTCCTGGAAGCATGATTCTTGTCCTTCAGAATTATCTATAGGTGGCCTCATTCTCCTGGAAGCATGATTTTGTCCTTCAGAATTATCTACAGGTGTCCTCATTCTCCTGGAAGCATGATTCTTGTCCTTCAGAATTATCTATGTTTTTTTTTTTTTTTTTTCTATAGGGTCCTCATTCTCCTGGAAGCATGATTCTTGTCCTTCAGAATTATCTACAGGTGTCCTCATTCTCCTGGAAGCATGATTGTTGTCCTTCAGAATTATCTACAGGTGTCCT